CACCATTTTCGACATTTTCTGAACTCTTCCCTTTCTGTTTCTTTTGTTCATGCCTGGGTAAGTCTGACCTAGGCTTTTACAAACCTGCATATCTGTATCTGTTTAGACACATATATATTCAATAGTTTTTAGTATTTCTCCAGAGTTGCGCCACTATCACCATGATCTAGTTTTAGAACATTTGCTTTACCCCTAAAAGCAGCCTCATGCCCATCAACAGTCAATCCCCATTCCCCTGACCCCCACCCCTCCTCCTCCAGCAACCTTGATGGTTAATTTTATGTGCTAACTTGACCGACCACGAGGTGCCCAGATGAAACATTATTTCCGGATACGTGGGTTAGGCTGCTCCCGGATGAGATTAGCATGTTACGAGGGTAGATTTCAGGTTAAGTGATCTTACAGCAAAATAAAAGCAAAACAATAGCAGCAGCAGAACAGCACAGGGACACAAGGAAACTGGAGGTGATGAGTATGCTTGTCACCTTGACCGTGGCGATGGTAATACAAGTGTGTATATGTGTCTAAACTCACCGAATCGTATACATTACTTCTGTGCAGTTTTTTGTATACGAACTGTACCAGTTACATGTGGGTGGGGGCGCATATGTATCTCACAGGATTGATGTGAAGACTCAAAAAGGAACTCTGATGTGCCTGCCATGCTGTAATGATGCAGCATGTAAGCTGTGGCAGGAACAGATTCCCAGAAGAGAACTTTCACCAGCCCCCTTCACAGATGAGGAAACGGCGGCTCAGAGAGCGGAAGCAATCAGTTCAGATCTTTCGGGAAGGCAGCAGTGCTGGGACCCAGGCACGCTGGCTCCTAGTCCGAGCTCTCTCCCTACCGCACGGCTCCTAGAAGCAGCTTCTCTCTGGTCGAGGGATTTTTATTCCGATCTGGGAAGAGGTTCCCTGATGTACTGAAAGGGCAGCTCAGCCTTCATCTCTTGGCATCACGCCAGGGGTATAATGGAAAATTAGACCAGTGGGTTACCGATCCCTTCTCATTCTAAGCTAATGACGTCATGTAGGATATGATGAATGGCAGCCAGCCCCTCTAGAAGTCTCTAATAGACAGATGGAGGCTTTGCACTTAGATGGTTATGCACCGGTCAGGTCCGTGGAGTCCAACTGGCCAGCAGAACAGCATGACCTCATGAGACTTAATAAACAGAGGTCACTTCTCTCCAGTGTGGCGATCTTAATAACTGTACAGATATCCTGGCTATGAGTCTAAAACCCTGAGTTGGTTCCTTACGATTTTGCCGCACAAAACAAGCTCTGTGCTTGCAAAAAGAGTCTTTTGGGAAGGATTCATTTATTGAATCAACAAATCTTCATTACAGATCTACTGTGTATCCTGCACTAACTGAAAAGCCAAAGATATGCATTGGGTACCACCAACACAATCCCCGTCTGCAGCACTTCACAAGGCATTCGGCTGCAAACACAGACAATCTTAAGATGGTGGCTTAAACAGATGGGAGTTTATTTTTATCTTCTAACCAGAATTTCTGGGATAGGCAATTCAAGGGTGGGGCAGCTGTTTAATGATGCTATCAGAGACTCAGACTCTGTACCTTTTTGTTTTTGCCACCCTCAAGAAGGTTTAGCCTCATGGTTGCAAGATGGCTGTTGTGCTTCCAGACATCACATCTACATTACAAGTAGACCAAAAGCCTTCTCCTCCCAGGGCCTGGTCTTTGTTATTGGGGGGCCCCTCCCAACAGACTCTGCTTCTACCTCCTTGGTCAGAATTATGTCATGTAGCCACCACTGGCTGGAAGGTATCTAGAAATGTGAAGTGGAAGGTAGACCAGAATGGTGTGGGATGAGCCATCCTATAGCATCTACCACACAGCTTAAATTTCCAAGGGAGTAGATGGACAGGTAGCAACTAACTTCACCATTAAATAATCATTAATTACTGTGATGAGAGTCTTAGTGCTGAGACAGCACATGTCTTAGGTTGGGTTTCTTTTGAAGTAGACTCTGAGATCTGAGCTCAGAAGCTGTGTACCTAAGGAGATATGGTGGGGCATTAACCACACCTGAGCCGCCATATCATAAGATCCTTTAACCTAAGTTGGGGGTTAGCTAAGCCCTTTCTAAAGAAGTAGAGACCAAAAAAGTAGGGAGAAGAGTGTTCTAGTTAAAGGGAGCAGAATGTGCGAAGGCTCAGAGGTATGGAAGAACTTCACACGTTCAAGGCCTTGGTTTGTGTTGCTGGCAAGGCAATGATACTAGATGCTTCGTAACAAAAGGTAACCTTTCTCCCTGATATCCTGACATCTTCCCTCCTTTCTACTCTCCTTCTCTTTCTTTTAAATATTTCCTCTTTACATTCTAGAAATGCACTCTCCCCCTTCTCAAAGCATTTCCCACCTATTCTGATAATAACATTGGCATGACTCTGCATAGGTCACAAAGTACTTTTACATCCATCATCATTACACCCCCATTTTAGTCAAGGAAACTGAGGCTCAGAGAAATAGAGGCAATTTCTATGGGCTAACATGGCCTGTAAGACGCTAATTTAAGACTCAAAACCAGCCTCTGGAATCCTGTTCAATGTCATTCTCCACCACTTGGGTACCCAGCGTGGTGCCTGGTGTGGTTTTAATCCTTAACACTGTGCTTTGTTTGGATTTTGCCTTGGGAGCCTTCAGGTTTTATCCTGTCTCTTCAGTTGGCTGGCTGAGTAATGATTGCATCCGATGTTTGATGTTCTCCACCCCCTCCCCAGAGTCATTGAAAAACATTACTTTCTGTTCTTTTTAAAGAGATTGAGCATGATTCAGGTAGATTATACCAAAATCCTCAGGAAAAATAGAATGATCAAAGCCTACAAAGTTGTCTTTGCAAAGGGCTCTGGAAGAAGTTCCCCTTATGCAGACGAGGGGGAGGGGATGCAGCTGGGTGCAGGGGGCAGCTGCTGTTTCAGTCTGCCATCGCCCCGTCTCCTGGCTCTGGTCATAGCACCTCGGTTTTCCTTTGGGGAGCCAGCTACGTTTGCCACATAAAAGACAGGACACTCAGTTAAATTTGAACTTCAGACCAAACAACAACAACAACAATTTAAAAAGTATAAGTATATCTCAAATATTGCCCGGGACACATTTACACTAAGATTTCATTCCTTGTTTATCTGAAATTCAAAGTTAACTGGGTGTTTCATGTTTTTATATGCTACATCTGGCAGCCCTGACACCTTATAGCTCAAATGGGTAGAGTGGGACCAATTCACGCTACCTGGGCTCCAGGAGAGGTAAGGTGATCCATGCAGTCAGTGTATCCCATCCCCATCACTCATAGAGGCTGGTTCGGAGATGGGGGATATGGGCTTCAGTTCTGGAAATCTGGCTTACACCAGCTGAAAAAGAGATTTGTTCTTTTTGTTGCGGTTGCTAAGCTGTGAAAGGCAGCTCTTGGGCTCCAACAAATGAGAAACTGAACAAGAATGAAGTCAAGAGAGGAAAAACAATTGAGGGATGGAGAGAAAGGCAGAAAGAAGAGATTAAACCTTAACGACATTATTAGGGGTCCTGGAACCAGCCTCACTGCATTTTACCTTCATCTAGGCTCCCTAATGTTGATGGAACAGTTGGGGACTGTCTTGATGATGGTGCAATTGATGATAACAATAATGATGCGACAGAGTTGAAGGCGAAACCATCAGTGGGGATGGTTATGGGAGAGATCAATCTTAATCATGGTGGTGGTGGAAAGAGTGATGGAGTAGAAGGGTGTGTAAAATCAAGGGGAGGATATGTTCTTGCTGGTGATAGTTCTGTTCAGGGTGCTCCTGCTGCTGCTAATGAAGAGGAGGATGTCAGTGATGATGATAAAAAGGGTGTCCGCAGCAGAGTGGAGTGGCCGCCGGAGATGCCTGACGCCCTGTTCTGAGGAGCAGGCGGTGCGATGGAGCCAGCCAGGCCAAAGAAACAGAAGCAGCCAGAGCGTGAAGAAAAGCGGGTTTTGGGTCTGGTGTCGCTGCGCAGGGAGAACTGGATTTCCACGACTGTGGAGGGACCATCCCCCAGAGATTCTGGCATTGCCCGGGTACCACTGGCTGGAGCAGCAGAAGGCCCTGCCCAAGGGGTCGGGGAGGCAGTGACCCCACAGGGAAGGGGCGCTGTGGCAACCGCTGCACTTGCTGCTCCCCCCAGCACCGCCTGAGCCTCAGCTCGGCATCCAGCAGTTGACTCCACCCAAGCTCTGGTTAATGATCCTCTCCACAATTCATCAACTTTTGGGTCTTGGTGCAATGCTTCCTTAAGAATGTGTCACAAGAGTGCCAAGATTTAGGTCTCTCAGCCATAAGGTCATCTTCCAGGGGCCCCTGGCAGGGCAGCTCCGGGGGCTGGTCATCTCCATCTTCTAGAAGCTTCTTCCCTGTACTGCTTTCTGCCATATGATTATGATTATTTTCTCAACATTCCTTGCGTTGGAAAGGCTCGGAAGCCTACATCATACACTTCTTAAGGGCAGGGGCTGTGTTTGAGTTGTTTACGGCTATATTTGTAATATAAACTATAGTGTCTGTCACATAGCAGGCGCTCAAGAACCACTTCTCGACATAATGAGAGGTTTTATTGTGGTGGTGGTGACGGTAGTACTGGCGGTGGCAGTGAGGGTGAGGAACAAAGACTTTGGGGGTAGGGGTGATGGACTCAGAGGACCCGGCCTAGCCCATTGCTTTAAAAAAGCTTTTATAGAAACCAAATCTGTCTTTTCCCTCTGTAGCCAGCCTAGAAAAATCTACTGAAGGTGGATTTTGGAGGAAGGGTGATTGAAGCTGGAGGGAGAGGCTATTGAGAATTACCTCCAATCCTTAGGGGGACTGTTATGTCCATCCTGTCTGTCCTTCTTACTCCCCCAGTTTGTGAGAAGGCCGCCCTCCCTTCCCCACACCACCCAGTCTTTCGAACTCGGCCAGTGGGGAGCCCGGCGCTGTGCGCAAAGGAGGAGGGGGCGCATGGTTTGCTGCGCCGGGAGCCGCGGGAAGGGCGGCGGAGGGGACTCCTGGAGCACCGGACGGGAAGAAGGAAATTGAGATCATGGTGTCGGGAGAGAGAGGGCTGGAGAGGAAAGGCAGAGGGCCGGCAGAGTAGGGAACAGCTGGGGGTTCGTGGAGAGTGAGGGGAGGGACAGGAGGGAGAAGGGGCTGGGGGAAAGTGAGGAGCGGGCGTGAGAGGGTGCGCTTGGGCTGGGAGTGGAGGGCTGAGGTAGCGTTCAGGCTGGGATGGGGGCTGAGGGAGGAGTCCTTGCAGGTCCTAGCGCGCAGGTGAGGGGCTGAGGGGCGGAGCCAGGGTCGAAGGGAGGGACCGCGGTCCAGAGGCTGGGGTTCCGACTCGAAGCTCGCAGGCGCCGGGGGCGGTGCTGGGTTGGGTTCCGGCTCGGCGATGCGGGTGCACCTGGGCGCGCTGGCCGGCGCGGCGGCGCTGACCGGGGCGCTGAGCTTCGCGCTCCTGGCAGCCGCCATCGGCACGGACTTCTGGTATATCATTGACACCGAGCGGCTGGAGCGGAGCAACCCGGGGGCCCCGGCAGGGGCCGCCAACCGCAGCCAGCTCGAACCTCTGAGCTCGCACTCCGGTCTCTGGCGGACCTGCCGGGGTAAGGATGCACCCAGGGACCCGGGGCGTTGGCGGCCAACGACCCTCGCGTGGCGCACGGCTGGCCTGGAACCTGTTGCTTGGCGCGCACCCCTCCCCCAAGCCCCAGAGCGCAAAACTCGGTGTGTGCGGCGGGAGAGGAAGGTGGGCAGAGGGCTGGGGCTGCCGTCGCCCTTCCGAGAGGTGCTCTAGCTCCTCCGCGCCCGCCCTCCGGCGTGGACCACCCAGGGCGGGTGAGGGCGAAGCCGCGGGCCGGGGTCCGGACTCCGGGGCCCCCGCCAACCGATTCCTCTGCCCCATCCAGTCCAGAGCCCGTGCGCGCCGCTGATGAACCCCTTCTGGCAGGAGAACGTGACCGTCAGCGACTCGAGCCGACAACTTCTCAGTGAGTCCGGGGAGGGTGGGATGAGGGAGAATCCGGGGCTGGACACCAGTTTTGGGAGCTTTTCTCCAAAGAGCAGGCCGGGGCACGGCGGCGGGAGCTGCCGGGGCAGCTTCTGACACCGGCAGGTGGGAAATGGGGTTAGGAGCACGGGGCGCGGCCCTCTTGCTCCACCTGTAACGTTGTGTGGTTGAGGATTCATTCGACAAACGTTGATTGCAGGCTTTCGTGGGTCAGGCAGCGAGCAGGTTATGAAGCCCCAGGCCATGCGCTCAAGGGGCTCGCAGATGAGCTGGCGAGACCGAGGTGGATGTGCGCAGTAATATTTTAGAGTGACAAGCAGCACGAGGGAGCGTGGTGGAAGGCCGAGGAGACACCTGAACCAGACGAGGAGGTGACTGTTGAACAGATAGGTCTCATCCCACAGACCAGAAGGCACAGCCCATGTCGGCCTTCTCTGCATCCTCAGTGTTGAGGACAAGCGCTTGGCAGTAGCAGGGATGCAGTAAATATTTGTTGACTGCTTCAAGGGAGGCAACCAGGAGGCAGAGAACAGCCCCCTCTCCTCAGGGGCCCTGTGCCTGTTGTTCATGGGTGATTTCCCAGTGCCTGGCACAGTGCTTGGAACTCAGTAAAGGCGTGAGGACTGAATGTGAGAAAGCAAACAGGCTGAATAAACACTGGAAGAAGGAGGGATAGAAAAGTAATAGTTGAAGTCACTGAGGCTTGCAGCCGGCCAGATACAAAACTGAACACTTTCCATCTGTGTTTTCATTTAATCCTCATAGACTCCCCACAAAGTTATTGTCATCGCCATTTTAATCTTTGTTTTTCCATTGAGGAAATTGAGGCCCAGAGAGGTACCATAGAAAGAACCTGATGAGGAAATGAGGAAGGACTGAGTTCCACAGACCTTGAAAAGTGTGGGCAGTTTTTGATAGACTTACTGAGGCTTGGGCATGTGACTCGTAAGAATAAAGACAAGACCCCAGCATGGCCCACAAAAGCTTCCAGGATCCCTTTCCAACTCCACTCTCCCCTTTGCTCCTTCCTCATCAACCATGCTGGCCTTGGGCCAGTTCCTGGAATGTGCCAAGTTTCTTCCCGCCACAGGGACTTTGCACATGCTATTCCCACCACCTGGAGTCTTCCTGTTTCCATTGTTCCAACCTGACTTGGTTAGCTCCTACTCATGGCACAGGTTGTGTGACATTTTTAGAGTTAAAGTCTGACTCTTTCGTTAGACCATGAACTCCATGAAGGCAGAGACCATATCCATATTGCCACTGCTGGATTCCCAGTATTTATCATAGAGCCTGGCAGAGTGGTCCACGAGCCAAGGTTTGCTGAGCAGGTGCGAGAGTGAATGCAAACTCTATTATTTAGAGGTAGAACTCAGTCCGTACTTGTTGATTGAATGAGTAAACGAATGAACCAGACCATTTCTCTAAAATCCAGTGGTATGTTGGGAAATATTAAACAACTGGCTCTCTGGGGGAGGGGAGAGTCTTGATTTGTGGCACTTGCCAATTTCTGTGGTGTATATATTCCTATTGTGGTCAATTTTAAGCTGGCAACATGATGTCAACTGATTCCCCAAATGCCTGAAAATGTAACAATTAACTCTGATACAGTCTAGCTCCAGCACACCTCTGTGTAAAGTCCCACTGAGGGAGATGTCCCCCAGATGCCTGGAACCTGAGGGGGTCAAGGAAAGGAAGTGGCCTCACAGACTCTGTCCTCAGCCCCAGGCTGCACCAGGAGGAACTTTGGGTGTTCTCGGAGCACTGCTTCAGGAATAATCAAGAATTTCTGTCCATGAAGTGAGGGAGATGGGGGTCAAATCCCAGCTCAGATCCTTACCAGGACCCTCTGTGATCCTGGGGTAGGCATCTTAACCTCTGAGCCTCAGTTTCCACATCTGTCAATTTTTAAATTTATTTATTATTATTATTTGGGGGTGTGGAAGGGAGGTAATTAGGTTTATTTATTTTTATTGGAGGCACTGGGGATTGAACCCAGGACCTTGTGCATGCTAGGCATACACTCTACTCGGCTATACCCTCCCCTTCCACATCTAGGGTCAGAATGAGACATAGAACCAGGAGGGGGTGTGGTCAAGAGTCCACAAGCTAGCTGGATGAAAAACTTGATCTTACCCAGGACCTCATCTAGTGCCTGGTTGTCGTGGGATCTCTCCGTCGTATGAAGAAATAATTTGATATAAAAGTGCTAGATATGTAGTAAGTGCTCAGTAAACACTAGTCCTCTTTACCATTCCTTCCAGCTTCTCTTAGATGTAGTTACAGCTATGGTGTGCTGGCCCCTGGCTGGGCTGGGTGCTGGCATTCAGTCTAGGGTGAACTGGATGGTTAACTACAGTTGGCACTGGTCTGGACTCTTTGTGAAACTTGGTAATGCACCAACCCTGTGTGCTGCAGGATTTTGAGAAACAGGCAAAACTCACATTCACAGTCTGTTCGTCTGTTCACTCCTTGGATCCAGGTCTAACCCCCAGCTTCACCACCAACTAGATGTGTGGCCCTGGGCAAATTTCTGTACCTCTCTGAGCCTCAGTTCCCTCATGGGCAAAATGAAGGTAACTGTCATCTCCCTTCATAATGTTACTGCGAGGGTGAAACGGGAGAGCGTATTTAAAGAGCCTCACACAGTGTCTGGCCCCTGCATGTCGTAAGTGTTAGCTGCTATTATTACCATTGTATCATCCATGACAGAGAGGAGGCTGCCCCTTCAGACTGCGTGCTTGCCCTGGAGAGAACTTTCCCCCAGAATCTCTATCCCCAGGAAGAGTTTAGAATGTTGTCCAAGTTCTTTTATTATATGAAGATGTTTCATTCCTTTTAGGACCTGCTGCAGAGCCCAGAGAAGAGAGAGGCCAGTTGACAAGCAGCACGTTCTGCGAGTCAGCGTCCTAGACAAAGCTTTGCTGGGGGGTGGGGTATAGGAAAACCCACGGATTCTCCTTCTAAGAAAACCCACGCAGGCAGCCGACTTTGGTACCCAATAAAAATCTTACCTTGCTTGGATATTTTGTCTTCCTGATTAGCTCTGGGGATGCCATAGGTTTGGTTCCTTGGCTAGGGACTGGAATTAATTTTGCTGAGGGGCAGGGAATGGTCATCAAATTCAGCACAGTTTAGATAAAAGAGCCATAGTCTAGAACCAACCAGGCTAGCTGTATCAGCCAGGAGTGTCTTGGTGGCAAGTGACAGAAACTCAAATTATACTCATTTTAGCCAGAAAATTGCTGGTCCACTAACTGAAAAGCTCGAGCCTGCTGGGATCCAGAGAACTAAACTCAACTTCTTTCCTGTCCTTTCTGGGCTTTGCTTCTGTCTGGGTTCCGCATTCAGCTAAATCTCCTCCGGTCTTGGCAACCAAGCAGAACGAGCCCGTTGACCAATAATTCTGCAAAACCTCCAGGCAGGTCTCTCACTGGGCCAGACCGGATCACATTCCCAGGTCTGAACCAATCACTGTGGCCAAGGGGATGGATTGTGCTGATTGGCCAGGCTGAGTCAAGCGCCTCTTGTAGCACGTGTCCAGGTGGGGTCAGCCTCATCATAGATAAGGGCCCACTTCTCACCAGCCGTGGGACTTCTGGCCAGTCACCTGCTTCCATAAATGGGCTGTTTTGAGAGGAAATTAGATCATATAAGCAAAGCACTCAGCATGGTACTACCTAAAGTTCTCCAGTTGTGGTCTCCTCCTGCTCCAAGTCATATTGCCTCCCTAAGCCTCAGGCTTCTCATCTGTAAAACGGAGCTAATCACATTTGTTTGTTTACTTGGCACATACTTATTGCACTCCTGGCACTGGGCTAGCTGCCAGGGACAGATCGTGGTGAGACTGGTGGGGTCCCTGCCACATAGAACTTAGTGGAACTTAGTGTCTAGTGTAGGAGACAGATAATAAACACATGGACCAATGAATAAATAAGCAAAAAATGGCTTCAATTAGTAGTAAGTGTCACAAAGAGAATACAACAGGCATGTAATAAAAGGTGGTGGGGAAAACTTTCAATGGAGTGGTTGAAGGGCAATAAAATAAGTCAGTGCTTCGAGAACAGGTGCTGTGTGCCAGACCCTGTCCTTCGCTCTTTACATGTTTCAACCCATTTAATCTTCAAAACAGTTCCATGATCCTCCTTACTTTTCAAATGAGGAAACTGGGGCACAGAGAGGTTAGGTAACTTAACAAGGTTCGCACAGTAACTGCTGGATTTGGGATTTGGACTCAGGCAGTTTCTACTCTTTTGGAGTGATGCTATACTGAGTGTAATTTCAGTAGAACACGAGTGTGCTAAGATCAGAGGCCGTGGCAGTCCAGAGGAAAAGTTCTTAGCCTGTTTCTTGCATTCTGAGTCCCATTCTCCCACACTGCCTCCTTCAGTGTTTTATTTTTTTCTAAGAAGACTGTTATCAGGTACATCTTGCTATGCAACAAGCCCCAGGCCTAAAAGCTGGATTTCTCCTTAGCGTGGCTCATGGAACTACGTGTGACCCCTGCTCATCTCTCCAGGGGTAAGAGATACAGGCGTGCTTCCTGATACCTTCTGCTATGGGGTCCTGGTACATCCCCCACCTCTCATACTGTCCTCCACCTCTCAGCCCTCATCTTACCTCCAGGTCTCAGCTGAGATCTCCCCCAGCCCTTCCTAACTTCTAGGCTGGGTTAAGCACCCCTAAACTTTGTCAGCTTTGTTAGTGGTTCTCTTCCAGCTCTGACACCTCACAGCTCATCAATCTTGAGCAACTGATGTAAGTACCCTGAACTTCAGTTTTCTCATCTGTGAAATGGGAATTAAAAACTCCTACCTGGTGGAGCCTCAGGTATTTGAGGACAAGAAAGGAAAAATTATTCTCACATTCAGTGCTCATGACAGCTTGGCAAATCAGAGCCCATGGTCCAACTGACAGGTGAGGAAATGGGCTTTTAAGAGATAATGTTTGCCTGGTAAGAGATGGAGTCAGGATTTGAAGCCAGATCTTTGTAGAGTCCGGCTCTTTTCCATATCGCAACATCGCACCTTGGAGATCATGAAATAACTAAGATGCAGCCCCCATCCTCAAGGAAGCCATGTTCTGGTGACAACAGACTCCAAACTTTACAAAAATTGAAAAAGAAAAATCCACTTCCTTACCAGGTGTAATAGGACTGAATAGCTCTGAGCATCTCCTGGAGTCTCAGTCACACTGAAAGATAATGACATTTCACCCTTTGGGAAAAAGTTCCCGGGACTTTCTTCTTTTGCCAGCGCTTCTGATGTTTCTGGAGAATGACACATCTCTGTTCTCTTTAAGAGCAGAACTATTACTTCACTCACCACCCCGGGGCGTCCTGACCTCGTAAGCATTCCGGAAGCCTGGTTTTCCCAGTGAGCTGTTCTTCAAACAGTGTGATAATGGAACATTCACAGTTTTCCTTGGCTTGAACATCTTGGCTTTTTTCTGATTTGCTTCTCCTTGAAACAATGTATTTCTGAGTCAAAAAGATCTCCTGCACCTGGGTACCCATTTGCTCTTGATGAAACAATGACATGTCAACATTATCAATATTATTCATTCTATTCTGTAATCTTAGCTCTCAAGTGTTGAGCTCCTACTGTCTTGGACTGAAAGGCACCGCTCCCCAAAAGGTATGTCCACGTCGTAATCCTTGGTACCTGTGAATGGGACCTCACTTGGAAAAAGAGTCTTTGCAGATGTAATTGAGTTAAGGCTCTTGAGATGAGATCACTGAAGATTAACTCATGGGCTTGAAATCCTACGACAGGTATCCTTGTAAGAAAAGGAGCATCACAGAGGACAGAAAAGAAGTTCATAAGAAGAGGGAGGTAGACACTGGAGCCAAGGAAGGCCAGGGATTGCCAGCAATGCCCAGAAGCCGGAAGAAGGGAGGAAGGATCCTCCCCTAGAGCCTCTGGAGGGAGCGCAGTTCTGCCGACACCATGATTTTGGACTTAGGGCCTCGAGAACTGTGACAGAATAAATCCCTGCTGCTACTCAGACACCTAGTTTGCAGTAATTTGTCATGCCAGCTCCAGGAAATGAGAACTGCCACCTCATCTATAGAAGTGCCCCCTGCTCACCACCCAGCCCATTTTTGTGCATCATCACACTCATTACCTTGGTGACACGTGGTCTGGAATTATTCCCTTTGTTTCCTGAAGGTCTGTCTCCTGTACTGGACTGTGGTCTCCATTAGGGCAGAGACTTTGTCCCCTGCAGCGTCCCCAGGCCCTACGTGGCCCATAGACATTTGTTTCTGAATGAGATGTGGCTGGAGATGGGAGACACTTCCAAGTAGCACAGAATGCGGAATCAATATTCGTGTCCCCAGATGGCAGTCCTGAAAATCAAAAAATAACAAAGACTAAGGCACATGAAAAAAAAGAAAAACCACCAAAACCCCCCAAAAAACTAAACCAAATTTCAGCAGGAGATCTTACAACGCTCCCAGGGGGAGACCCAGTTCTTGCCCAGACATTTAATTGAACGAGTGCGTGGAGGCAGCCGGCAGCGTGTCTGGGGACCTCACGTGTGGGGCTGTCGGGCCCAACCAACTCCAGGAAACCTCATTAATTTCCAAGTGAGAAATGATTTCATTTCTCAGCCATCGTCTGGGGGCAATGCCGTGCAGGGGACAGATCTTACCGAGCCAGGTTCCCACACCAGCTGCTGTGCGTCCTTGCCCAAGATTTTTCCTTAAGAAAGGAGGGAACGAAGGAGGGGAGGGAGGGAGGGAAGGAGGAAAGACAACTACAGGTCTTGTCCCCTGTGATCACATTTTGTGCTGCGACAGCCCTGGGAGGGAGATCAGCCTTGTTTCCTTGATTCGCCAAGGAAGAGACTTGAAGACAAGGACCCTTGTCCCTAATGAGGTCACATTCAGGGGTACCTGCTGGACGTGAATTTGGGAGCCACCTTTCAACCCACTACATCCCTCTGCTGTCTACTCTCAGTATAGCGACCAGGGCGACCTCTAGAAACTGAAGTTAAATCCTCTGATTCTTCTGCCCTAAACTGTCTGGTGGCCCCATCTCATTCAGAGAGACGTTCAGAATCTTCGCCCCCTCCCTTCTGCACGGCTGCCTCCCTCCCCTCCTTCAGGTCTTGCCTCGAATGTCACCTCCTCAGTGGAGCCACTGCTCTGGCCCCTCCCCTACTTTATTCACTCCCCTCCTCATGCGTCTGTCACCGTCTCTCAACTCTGTCGTTTATTGGTTCGCTGCCTGACTCCACGCACTAGAACGTCAGCCCCACCAGGGCAGGAGTCTTGGCGGATCTGCCGCTGAATCCACCGAGCCGGGGACGGCGCCTGGCACAGAGCCTGCACTCCACACGCATTTGCTGGATGAATAAGCGAATGAGTGACAGTACCTCACAGGGTGCGTGAGAATTAAGTGAGATGATACTTACACAGCACAAAGCCTGGCACGGTTGAACCTCGGTAACTGTTGTTATTTATTAATAACATGATCATTATCGGCATTAGTAGTAGCAGTAGTGTTAATTTCCCCCCCAGTATTTGGGTGCTGGCCCACAGGAGGTGCTCCGTGAATGTTTGCTGACTGACTGAAGGATGTTAGTAACTGGCCGTCCTCCTCTCTCCCCTAAGCCATGCACGGGACCTTCGTGATTCTGCTGCCACTCAGCCTGATCCTGATGGTTTTTGGGGGGATGACGGGGTTTCTGAGCTTCCTCCTGCGAGCCTCCCTCCTCCTCCTGCTCACGGGGACCCTCTTCCTCTTTGGAGGTAGGTGCCCACCCTGCACAGGGCCTGGGTTCCGGGAGGGGCTGCACACAAACACCCAGAAGGGAAAGAGGGTGAGGGTACCATCACCTCTAGGGCTTGGTCCCCCCTCCCGTGACCTCACAGCTGGAAGCGATGAGTGCTTTCCAGCCCAGGTCCCTGGGTCTATGGTCCCAGGAGAGAAGCAGTGGGGTGAGAGCAGGTTCTGAGAATTGTCTTCATTATTTCACAAAAGAAGCTGTGTTGTGAGAGCTTCCGCGTCAGGGCTGCGGGCTAGCAGGAGATCCTCACTCTCTCATGTGCCCCTGCCATCCTGAATTGAGTTTAATCGATTAAATGCTGTCCTGACACGTGATTGATTAAAATCAGGCAATGGCTGGATTTCATAGATGGGATTCAGCACAAGGCTGGTCATTTTTTGAGATTAGCAGATTATGGGATTAGCAGAGTTTGCAATTAGCAGATACAAACTACTAGATATAAAATAGACAAATAAGGTTCTACTCTATAACACAGGGAACCACATTCAATATCTTGTAATAATCTATAATGAAAAAAAATTAAACTGAATCACTTTGCTAAACACCAGAAACTAACACAACATTGTAAATCAACTCTACTTCAATAAAATAAAAAAACTAAAAACAAAACAAAAAGAAGAACAGTGATGACACATACACTTGAGGGGAAAAAATAAAAGGAATGCTTGGAGGTGAGAATGCCTTGAGGCTCCATCTCCTCCAACCACCTGCTATTATTAGTATTGGCATTTATAATTCACTGAGTGACTCATTCTCCAAACAGCACCTCCCCAGTAGAATTCTCCCTGATGGAGAAATTCTGTAATTTGTCACGAATCAGGCTACAAGCACCTGATGTGTGGCGAGTGCCAATGAGGGGCTGAGACATTCATTTAAATTAATTTAAGTTTAAATAGCCACGTGCGCCAATGCCTATGGGACTGGATGGCGCATTTTAATTAAACACAGATGGAGACTCGCTGTGTGCTAGGTGCTGTTCTGGGTGCTGGCAAATCCAAGGTGAGCCCTTTGAGAACTCACAATTGGGGCAGACGGACATTTGTTAAGTTTGCTTGTTTCATAAATAAATGCAAAATTGCAGCTCTGCCTGGGGCAGTGATGGAGGGCTGGGCGGTGCTGTGAATCAACGGGGGTGTGCCCAGCTCCAGCGGGTGGGCGGAAGGTGGGCGGAATCTACAGGCGCTGGGATGCGGGGATGGATGGGAGTTACTGTGGCAGGAGGGGAGGAGGATGCCCTGGGCAGAGGGGCCAGCAGTGGGAGGGAGGGGTTTGATCTACTCTCCTCTGTCGCCCTTGCAGCCCTAGTGACCCTCGCTGGCATCAGCATCTACATCGCATATTCAGCCGCCGCCTTCCGGGAGGCGCTGTGTCTCCTGGAGGAGAAGGCCCTCCTGGACCAGGTGGACATCCGCTTTGGCTGGTCCCTGGCCCTGGGCTGGATCAGCTTCGTCGCCGAGTTGCTCACTGGGGCAGCCTTCCTGGTGGCAGCCCGCGTGCTGAGCCTGAGACGGAGGCAGGACCAGGCCATCTGAGCCTGGATGCCTGGTCGTGGTGGGAGGGAGAGGCTTGGCCTGGGGGCCTCATGGACCCATCCAGGTGGGCTGTGGCCTCCTCTTGCACAAAGGCCACCACCTGAGAGCTGCTGTGGACTGAGCTCTCGGCCTGGCTGTCATCTCAGTGCTGCCTGGCGGGGTATGTGCTGAGTCCATGCACGTGTGCATCCGTGTGGGCTGGAGGAGGCCAAGGGAGTGCGGAATCCATCAAAAAAACAGAAACACCCTCTTCGTAATATACAGAACTTACCAACTGCAACCTCCCTGTGCCTCCTCCAGCTTCATTTCATCCTTACCTCTGCCCTTTGTATGAGCTGCTCTTCTTTGTTAAGGAAATGGAGGACCAGAGAGGTTAGGTACGTTTTGAAAAGACACACAGCAAGCTAGTGGGATAATCTTGGCACTCTCTCCAAGATCAGCACTCTCTCCTTTATCACAGCTTTTCTGAGCAGGTCCGTGGCCAGCTGGCTGCCATGCGGTTCCTGTGTGTAGAGGATGCTGCATCTCAGACACTGGGCTCCATGCTTCACATGACCTGGAACCAGGCAGGAGGGCACTGTGGGAAACCCTGAGGGAAGACAGCGGAGATCTGGGCTTCTCAGCAAGCAGGTGGCAGATGTGTCCTCTCTGACCCCAGCCAGGCTCAGGCTCACCTGGTCGAGTCCTGAGTCTCGAGCAGAAAAGGCTCAGTTGGTGTGATGATTCTCAGTGGCCAGAGACTTGCTTTTGAAACAACACAGAGTCATCCCGGAGATGAAAGCCCCTCTTGGACAGTCAGGTAGTCAGTGGTCCCCTTCATGCGTCACTTCATAGATGTCAGGAGGCCTCTGAGGGAGGAGCTGAAGGATCAGCAAGCTGGCGACCAGCAGGCAGGGAGACAGGCAAACCTGTGATGCCCAAGACAGACTCACCAGCAAGCTCACCAGGAGAGGGAAGAATCACTAGCACTCACAGTGCAGAAGAATAATCCTTATAATCTTGCCGTGATTGTCACTCTGACATCACCCTCACCACGACGTCATTACTTTCACTCTGACATCACCATCCTGACCGTGACATCATTACCTTCACTCTGACATCCTCCTCCTCATCAGAGCATGACCATCGCCGTGACTTCCTCGTCCTCCCCACGGCATGATCATTCTCACAGCTGACATCCATTGTGTCATCCCCTGCTATGCACCTGCACTGCTCTACATGCCCATCCGTCAACCAGTCGTTCAACAAACACCCACTGGAAGCCCGTTTCATGCTAGTGACCCTGCCAGAACAAGCCCTTGCTCTCTGAGCTGCCACATCATTGAGGAGAGATGGAGGCAGATGAAACATATGGTTGTTGGCGAAGACTATGGAGATAAGCGGTGCAGGGTTCAGGTGAGGGAACTGAGGCACGGACGGGTTAGGGAGAGAAAGAGGTACAACTGGGACTGAAATTCAGATCTGCCGGATTCCAAGATGACTCTTTCCATTTCTGCCGACCCTGTCTGCTCGTGGGTTCAGGATATTGCTGCTGCTTCCCTTTTGGTCTTGCTGGAAAAGCATAAACTGAATGGACTGCTCACAAGCCCCGCCCTGTGGTGAGTGAGGACGGTTGCAAAATCAGTTACTAGGCTGGGCAAAAGAGATGAAAAAAGTTTTCACAAAGTGAGAGCAACCGTGCTAGTGAGAGGGTGGTCTTTGCCGCCACCTGCTGGGCATATGGTAGAACTGCGTCAGAGGCTGGACTTGATCTCAAATTGGTCCAAGGACATTTGTTTTCAGCCCTGAGTGTCCAGCAATAGATTAACACTGTAGGGCAGGAGTTCTCAACTGAGGAGATTCGCTGCTCCCTCTCTACCTGGGGCTTTTGGGGATGTCTGGACACAATTTTGGTAGTCATCACTGGGAACGAGTGCTACTGGCATCTAGAGGGTATGCTCAACGTCCACAGTGCACAGAACGCCCCCACGACAAAGGCTTACCTACTCCACGTGCCAGCAGCGCCCAGGGTGAGAAACCCTGCTAGAAGAATGGAAAGGAGTAACAGGAGAAAGCACATGTGTACTCAAGGAACTGACAACATAGTTGAAAATAATCTCATGCGTTCAATAAATATTTCCTAAACACCTGCTATGTGTCAAGAACTCTTCTGGGGTCTGAGGACACGTTAGTGGGGATGGATGACAAGACCCCTGCCGTTAAGTGGAAACAGACGGTACATACATGAACCAAGAGTACGTATGAGAAATTCACATAGTGAAGAAAACAGTGTCATGAGATGGAGGCTGGCTGGGAGGCACTACTCTAGGAAGGATAGTCAGGGAGGGCCTCTTGGAGGAGGTGGCATTGTGCTGAAACTCAAATGAGAAACCTGCCATGTGGGGAAACATCAGACCAGGCAAGTGACAGCAAGTGCAAAGGTCCCGAGGTGGGAAAAACCTTATGTGTTTGAGGAAAAGTAAGAAGGAGCGTCGAGGGAGAATGGTAAGAAGTGAAGTTAGAGAGGTGAGAAGGAGGCAGAGGAGGTGGACTGGGTGGTGCCCATGGTCCAAGGTAGGAGGTGCTGGTGATTAAGCTGGATTTGGGATTCTATTCTATCCCATCCCATCCCATCTCATTCCTATTTGGGAGCAATGGGACACCTCCAGAGATGGTGCAGAGGTGCATTGGCTTGAAGACAACAGTTCTCAACCCACATTTCACATTAGCATCATCCAGGGACTTTAAAATAAAACCAAACTTCTAGCAACTGAGCCCAAAGGAATCAAAACCTCAAAAGTGGGCTTGGGCACTGGTATTTTAAAAAAGTTCCCCACATGACTGTGCTGTGCAGTGAGGGTGAGAACCATAGCTGAAGACCCTTTGTCCCACTCCTGAGCATGTATCAGGAGAAAACTCTAATTTGAAAAGATACATGGCCCCCAACATTCATAGCAGCACTATTTACAATAGTCAAGACATGGAAACAATCTAAATGTCCATTGACAGATGACTGGATAAAGAAGATGTGGTATATGTATTATACAATGGAATACTACTCAGCCATAAAAAGAAGAAAACAATGCCATTGGCAGTAACATGGATAGACCTAGAGATTACCATACTAAGTGAAGTAAGTCAGACAGAGAAAGACAAATACCATATGATATCACTTGTATGTGGAGACTTAAGAAATGATACAAATGAGCTTATTCACAAAACAGAAGCATACTTATAGAAAACAAACTTATGGTTACCAAAGGGAAAGGGAGTGGGAAGGGATAAATTGGGAGTTTGTGATTAACAGATGCACTCTACTGTCTATAAAATAAATAACAAAGTCCTACTGTATAGCATAGGGAACTATGTTCAATATCTTGTAGTAACCTATAATGAAAAAATATATATATACAACTGAATCACTATGCTGTACACCAGAAACTAACACAACATTGTAAATCAAATATGCTTCATTAAAAAAAAACTCAAATGCTGAGAAATCCAACAACTGAAAAAAAAAAAGATCCTTTGGTCTGGTGAGTGGAGAGCAGAAGGCAGAGAGGGGCTTCTCCCATCATGCAGGCGAGAGATGAAAGAGCTCGGACCAGGTGGAGGCATGGCTTAGATTCAGGGTGGGCTCTGAGGACTGAGGGGAGGTGACTTTTACTTATAAAAAGGTAAACAGGACAAGAAGGAGGGGTGAGCAGGTGCATCCCCTTTGCTGTGGGACCTCAGCCCGGGCCTGTGTGCTTTGCTCCATATCTGGCTGGACCCCCTGCCATGGACAGTCCATGGTACTGGGCCACTCCCCTCTCAGAGGGGACTCTACCTGGCAGTGAAGAGTCATTCATTCACTCGTCCATTAATCTGTCATTTACTCACTGATTCATCCATCCTCCCTCCATCCATCCCTCCATCCATCCATGAAGTTGTTCATCATTTATATATTCATGCACTCATTCATTCATCTCTTCATTCACTTCTTCACTCATACACTCATTTATTCATCTGCTCATTCAGTCATTCCCTAATTCATACACTTGTCATTGACTTGTTCGCTTATCCATCCATCACTCATTCCCTCATGGCTTCACTCACTCATACATTTATCACTCTGTTCACTCATTCGTTTAACAACTATTTACTGGAGGTCTGATGTACTGTTTGGAAAACTGGGGATTTAGCCGTGAACAAAAGTGGCCAAAACCCCTGTCCTCACAGAGCTGACATGTTTGAGACAGACAACCAACATTATGGGTAAAACAGGGTAAGCCACCTAGGAAGAGGTTCTACAATGAAGTGGAGGAGGGGACAGGGACAGGTGTTCAGGGAGTGTGACCTAGGCAGTGTCCCATATGGTGCTCTGCTGAGCAGGACTGAAGGACCTCTTGGACCTAATTTCACATTGATTAATCAGTTCATGAGCGTTTTCTGGGCCCTGACTGTAGGGTCAGGGAGGGGAGTCTCCCTGGAGGCTAGACAGAGGAGGCTGAGTGAAGACGCAGCCTCAGTGTCCCCAAGCTGACCTCGTGCCTCTTCCCAGAGAGGAACCTCAGTGCTGAGAGGATCCCGCACACGGCGAGGGGAGGAGTCCAGGGGAGCCCAGATCTCGCAGAGCAGACACCGCTGCCCCATTTTGCAGATGAGGAGCCTGAGGACCCGGAAGGAGAGGACTCCCTACCGGTGGGAGAACCAGGACCCAGACCCCTGTCTCACCCAGTGTTGTCATCTGTTTTCCTCCTCTGACAGCCCGGGGCGGCTGGCTCCCCTCACTAAGAGTCAGTGGCCTGGATTTCACTTACAGGAAAAAAGGGAGCAACCCTTGGTCTTGCTTATCCTCTCCATGAACGGCCACTTGTCTTTTCCCAGCACTTGACACCCAAAGGCTGGGACGCTGATACGAGGCCTCTGCGAACGCTGGGGAGACACATCGCCTCTGCCCTGTTCTGACAGCGGCCTGCGCGTTCCCAAGTATTTACAATTAGGTCCCCCTGGAGCGTATGGAGGATGGGGGTGGGTGGTAGGGAGAGACAGAGGGAAGGACAGAACAACAGGTGGACACACACACACAAACAAGAGACCCAGAGAGACGACACACGAAGACCCAGAGAAACACGCAGTAGAAGAGATAAAGACAGGCAGAAACAGGGAGGGCTGGACAGCAGGCTGCGGAAGACAGTGAAGGATGGGGCTGCGTCCCGAGAGGGAGAAGAGAGAAAGGGGAAAGAAGGGCGGAGACCCCGAGGGAGGAACAGAGAGAAATGGGAAGCAGAAAAAACCAAGAAACGGACAACGAAAAACCAGAAACGCGGAGGACTCAGGCAGCGGCGAGACTCTCGGATTCAGAGGGTGGCGGAAAGAAAGGCGACCCTGAGCTTGTCCCTCGCTGGCAGGCAACCTGGGGAGACCCCCTGCAGCCCGCAAGGCGGCGCAAACCCGCAGCCCTCCTTCCACCAACGGCCCCGGAGCCCTGGCTTTCCCCCTTCCCGGGACAGACCGGTCACCTGGCTCGGGGGGTGGGGGTAGGGGGGAGTCCCCGACGCTCTGGAATTTGAAGGCCTCTTGGGATGCAGGGGCTACTGGACTGGGAACGGATGAGGAGGAAAAAGAGACCGGAGAAGCAGGAAGACTGGGATGAGGAGGCGCAAAGACGCAAACAGCATCCACTCTGCACACCAGGCACTCCTCGCCCGCGTGATGGGGCTGGATTCTCACAGCAGCCCCGAGGCCGGCGGGGCGGGCCCCGGGCTGCAGATCGGGACGCACAGCCTCCGGGAGGCCGGTGGCCCGCCGGCTACCACACAGTCCTCCGCGCAGAGCCAGGCTTCAGAGCAGGGTCATCGATGCCCAAGCTCTGCTTCTCTGCTTTGTGTGGTCCCACCTGCATTTCACCTCTTCTCTGATTCTCCTGGGCGGGGGCCTACATTTTATTCTCAACCTTGTTACATCAGCCGTGGGGGCCGTGGGAGGACGCAGCCCCAGGGGCGCAGCCCGTGCTTGGCCGTCTCCGTCTGTCGTCCTGCGTGCTGGGTGGGTCCGGCCGCTGGAGGAAGGGGTTTCTCCAAGGTGCTTGGGAAAGGAAGATGCCTGTCCCAGTCTCTCACCATCGCGGTTGCCCAAACCTCTGTCCTGGAGGATAGCAGATGCTTCTCCAGCAGGGGCTCCAAGACCCCACCAGGATCGCATCTCAGCCCAGCTTGGACTAGGGAGCCGTGAGACATCAAGAGAGGTCCGAGGAAGGCCGGAGCAGCCTGATGCACCTACTCCAGCTCAGGGGTGTGGCTGTGGGGAGGTCCCTGCCTCCCTCTGGGCCTGTGTCTTCTTGCCTGTAAAACGGTCCCGTCTATTGTCCTTCCCAAGCCCTCTTTAACCAATTCAGTCCCACAAATGTCTCCTGAGAGCCTTTTTGTGCCAAATCATCTGCCACGTAGTGGGGACGCACCAGTGAGCAAAACAGATTGTCACGAGGTCCCGATAAATCTGTCAGTTGCGGATGTGATTTTGAGGTCTAGGAAGTCCTGCTTCGGGGCATGGCATCCACTGTTCTGCTGGCCTTCTGGTGGCCAGAGTTATCCCACCACCCTCTCTTGTAAGCAGGGGCCCCCACTCAGGGGAGGAGAGACTTTGTGAGGCCGAGGCGGCCAGGAGGTGTGGTTTAGGGAAGCTGGGGTGCGGGGTCGGGCAGCCCCGTACCTGGGAGCTCCCCCCTCTACTTCACAGATGTGTGACTTGGGGAAGTTCCTTCTCCTTTTTGAGCCCGTTTCTCATCTACCCAGCGGCTGTGTGCTTGTCACAGGAGGACTGACAGATGGCAAAAGAGGAAGCCACCTCACCGCTGCTCAGATGTCCCAGACTGTCCCTGGGAAGCATCTCCCCAGTGCTCAGCCATGAGTCACTGTCATTTGCTCCGGCCTCTTGTAGAAGACTCCCGGGAACACCGTTTAGGGGGGGACACCCAGCACGCAGGCCCTTCTCACACCACGGAGCACTTCAGAGTTCTCCACTCAGGCTCCTGCTTCCCATCTGAGCCTTGCTGCTGCCCTGCAAGGAGTGGGCAGCCGCCACGGTCCCCGCTGAGGACACACCTGCAGAGGCTCAGTGAGGCCGAGGA